AGGGTATATTTACTTTTGTAAAAAAACTTAAATTTTCTTCCAAGTCTACCATTTTACATTCCCATTAACAATTGAAGTTATTGCTCCATGTTCTTGCCAGCACTTAGTTTAGTCTGCGCTTTGGATTGTGGCCACTAATATTTAGTAGTAGTTTTAATTTGCAGTTATTTAATGACATATGACATTGAATAACATATGTACTTATTTGACATCTGTCTATCTTCTTTGATAAGGTTCTATTCTGACAGTTTTGGTCCATTTTTAAATGTTCTTTTATTTTTGTTTTTTACAATGTGTGTTTTTGCAAATATTTACAAATTTCTCTCAATTTAAAACCTGCTTTTCATTCCTTTGGCATTTTCTTTTGCAGAGCAAACATTTTTAATCTAGAATTATTATTGTTACTTCTGCTTCCTTTTGATCACTGTTAGCATGGTTTATCTTTCTCTACTCCTTTCATTTTATATGTCTCTTTATATTTGAAGTGGTTTTCTTTGAAGGTAATACATAGTTGAGATTTTTTTTTCTTTTTTATTATATGTGTTTCTTTAGGAACAGTGAGGATATGGATATGAGTACATGTGTAGAAGTCACAGAACAACTTTTGAAGTTTGCACTTTCCATCTTATGAGACAGTCTCACATTGTTTCAGCCACCCTGCATACTCCTGGTTAGCTAGCCAATAAGCTTCCAGGGATTTCTGCTTCTCCATCTCCCATCTATCTTTGTGAAGGAATGCTGGGGTTATGGATGTACAGCAATGGGTCTGGCTTTTTGTGGGTTCTGGGAAATCTAACCCAGGTCATCAATGCTGTGTGAACCCTCACTTTTGCCCTTCTGGTGCATATGTTCACATCATGCATGTGGAAGTCAGAGAACAACCTTAAGGAGTTCTGCAGGGGCAGTTCTGTCTTTCCCATGGGTTCTAGGATTGAACTCATGTCATCAGAGTTGCTTGGCAAGTACTGTTAAATGCTGAGCCTCTCCCAGGTCCAAGGAACATTTTTAAAACTTCACCCAATTTCCTTTGTTGCTGTCCTTTATTACCAAAGCCACATTGCTCTTACTATTGTGTGTGGTGTGGTGTGGTGTGGTGTTTTGTCGTGTGGTGTTTGTGCCTGATTGCATGTGTGTGTAAGTGTCCATGTACATGTGGAAGCCTAAACTTGACTTTAGGTGCTTGCTCGTGCTCGCTCTCTCTCTCTCTCTCTCTCTCTCTCTCTCTCTCTCTCTCTCTCTCTCTCTCTCTCTCTAAATTGAGACAGACAGTGTCAGTTAAACCAGATCTCACTGTTTGAATTAGTCTCAGCTTCAGCTTGCCCCAGGAATCTGTCTCTTCCTCCCAAGTGCTGGGACTACAGGCAGCTGCCACATCTGCTAGCTTTTTATATAGATCCTCACTCTTGGTGGGAAAAGTGCTATATCCCCTAAGTTATAAAAGGATGAAGAAATAGATAGGCATGGTGGAGCACTGGAGAGGTAGAGGCAGGCGGATCTCTGTAAGTTCAAGGCCATCCTGGTCTACAGAATGAGCTCCAGGACAGCCAGGTCTGTTAACACAGAGAAACCAGATGCCCCCAAACCATGTTTTCATTATGACTTGATTCCCCAACTTATTACACAGAGAGAATGTGTATTTTGGTTAGTTAGTATGATTGATATAATTGTATATCAGTTATTAAGAATATCTTAAATTAGCTCTTGGCTAAGTAAGTAGTGTTATAGAGAAATTTTAGCCTTCCAATGCTAAGGTGCAGACTTAGTTCAAAGCATAAACCTCAAAATAATAGTTTTTAGGACTAGAGCCAGAAGACTTGGGTAGGTCCAGTCCCTCTGCCAGGAAGTATCTTGCATGATATTTATGTAAACTTCAGCAAAGAAGCAAATTCATGTATTTACTTTGCCTTTGTATACAGTTCCTTCTCCTTCCAGAGTAGCATTCATTAAATGTCTCAAATGTCTTGCATGGGATTTTAAAGTTCACTGTGACCTCTGTACTGGTCCATTATCAGGCACAGATGATGCATGCACTTGAAGCGCTTTTGGCATTGAGTGTCTTAGTGGCCATGATTCAGTTTGAGTCACCCCCTCCCTCATGGACCAGATGAAAGCTCATTCCCATGGGATCTGAGCCATGTTCTTGAGAATCATTTTATTTTCTAACTTACTGAAGTACTTTAGAGACCTCTGGGTTTCTCTGGGCTTTTCTTCATTTCCTTCTTTTGTTGATCTTGGCCCCTTTATCTTCCACCCACTTTATTACTCATTTCTTAGGGGCCTGACTGCTCAGGCTTCATAAAATGCATCTGAAGCCATATGGGTTGAGTAATTCAAACTTAAGTGAGTGGGGGGAAAAGAAGAAATGTGTGTTCTCTGAACTTCCTTTGTTTATGTGGTCTGTTTATATGTTGTTAAGGTTGTGTTATCCAGCTGTCTCCCTACATTTCAAAAATGGCTAAAGATAACTGGTGAACACTCTTAAGAGGGCCATGTTGACATAGTGAACGAAAAAACACTTCATTTGTTCCCTACCAAATAACAACTCTCCTTTTGAGATGAGGGAACAAATGCCAAAAGCTTCAGATGCCCACTTTCAAAGTTGAGAGGTCAATGACTTCTAGGGACACTTTTAGAAATAAAAGTTGGTTGGAGGCTATGTGATTGTTCAGTACAGCTAGGCTGTGGTATCTAACTCTCTTTTTGTGGGGAAGGAACCAGATAAAATGAGCATTAACATTGGTGTTAGTAACCCTGAAAGCCCATGCTCTCAGCTGGTCTCATATGAGTTAAAATTTAAGTACATTTGAGTTAGGATCATTCTAGAAAACAAGTGGAATGCTATAGTATGTGTGTCAGAACCATTCCACTTTAAGTACTTTGTCTTGAAGAAGCTGAAAATGGTTCTCAAGCCTTCCTGCACATTCCATGAGTGAAGAAGGCCTTCCTGGCCCTCCATACCATACGTAATTCAGTAATTCATAAGATAAACACAGAGAGATTTTTTGTTTGTTTGTTTGATTTTGGGGTTTTTTTTTTGTCACATTCAACTATTTATGGATCTTGGTTTGCTAAATAATAAACTTAGAAGTGAATTTAGAAGTGAAAGTAAATAAGAACAAAAATAAAGCATTGGTTTTAGTGTAAACTATTGAACATTGAGAATGCAGGTCTGTGTCGCCTGCAGTTTCTTCCTGTTTCCTCCTGAGCGGGATGAACACTGGCTCACTATGGCTGCTGTGCTGGCCTTTAATGGCCCCTCACTAGAGCCCCTTAACAGCAGCACTGAGAGGACTGCCAAGGGCCTCCTCAGTGAATTCGCATCATTTACTTCTCAATTCACCCACTGATTGAGGCCTTCTCTCTTGAGTGCTTTGCAGTTCCACTTAAGTGGCTGGTGTTTGGGGTCACTATTGAATGTTTTGTGTGAATATCACTTTCATGATGAATTGGCTGCTGCTGCTTTTAGCTGTATGGGGTGAAGCCCTTGGTGGTAAACCTTGAAAGGGAAAAATCCTTCTCTGTAGAGATATGCTAAATAAAATTACTCTCTTTATCACTTTGTCCTTTTATCCTTGCAGTCCGATAACCTCGGGTTCCTGTGATTTATTTGTTTTCTTCAATTAAGCTGAGCTGTTTCCTGTACCCAGGTGCATGCTCTTTATGTTGTGGGTTACTACAGAGAAGTGGTGCATGTTTCTGACCTGGAAGTGTGGTTTCTTTGACTCAGAACCACCTCAGTATGCCTTCCATCCTCTACTTCCTTTGCACTATTTCCTTTTCGAAGGGCTTGGTTTGGCACCATTTAATCCAAACACGATATAATGTATAAATAGTAATACTCAAAACACTTTCTGTCATAGCCTTTCTCTGTTTATGAAGTACTTTCAGCTTACTCCCTCTCAATAACCCTGTAAGTCAATCAGTTTTGTCTGTGTCTGTGCTGATGAAATTTTAGCTTGAAGTGGCTAATTAAATATCTTGCTCAAGGTTGCATTGCTTCTGGGTCACTCCACCTAAAATTCCCCACAGGAAACGAATACTTTTGATGGGCTGGGGAGATGGTGCAGTTGATATAAGTACTTGCTGTGCAGGTCTTACAGTTGACCCACAGTGGAAGGAGAGCTTCTGACCTCCACATGCAAACCATGGCATGTGCGCACGTGCTCATGCACACATAATAACAATAAATTAAAAGTTGTTTTACAGCCAGGTGGTGGTGATACCTGCCTTTAATCCCAGCACTTGGGAGGCAGAGACAGGTGGATCTCTGTGATTTTGAGGCCTGCCTGGTCTACTGAGTGAGTTCCAGGACAGCCTCCAAAGCTACAAAGAAACCCTGTCTCAGGGGGGGAAAAATTGTTTTACTTTCTTAAAGAACACTTTAGAGGATGAATAAAAGGTTTTCCAAAGCATGTTCGGTTTGTTAAAACTGGACTTGTTTTTATTTTGTATGTGTACTGTATGTATGTGTGGGGTATACATATTTATATGCATGTACACACCATATTTGCATGCAGAGACCAGAGAAGACCATCAGGTGTCCAATTCTGTCACTTTCTAACATATTCCATTATAAGACAGGGCTTTTCACTGAACCTGGAGCTCACTGTTTCAGCTAGTGTGGCAGACCAGTAAGCCCTGTGACTTTCCTGCCTGCCCCCTCTCCCAACACTAGGTTTATAGGTACACCGCTGGACCGTACCTAGCCCTGTACGTGAGTGCTAAAGGTTAAACACTGGTCCTCTTACTTACCCACTGAGCCATTTTCATAGCCCCCCCAACTTGTTTCTAGTCTGGTTAGTTGATAAAGACAGAGGTTAAAACCCCATTAACCACAGAGTTTAAATTGATGTGTCCAAGTCAGGAAAACAAACGTTTAGGTCATTTTCTATTCTGTTGCTGATGTAATAAAGCTAAGAAAGGCAGGCCCTTAAATTAGTGGAACTTGAACCATAAGTAATTAAACCATTAATTTTTTTATGATTATCTTTTCCTTTCAGGGAGATGGAAAGCTTGATGACTAGTTCTACCCTGCCGTCCCTTTTTGCAGATGAAGATGGCTCCAAGGAGAGTAATGATCTGGCTGCAACTGGGTAAGCAGCTGTTCTGGGACATTGGACTTTTGCAGAGGCTTCAAAACAGTTTCTGACAAAGTATGAAGTGCTAACGAGGCAGTTTCATTCCATAAGAGTAGAGGGTGCATTTATTGGGCTTTTCAGAGAGAGCTGTTATAAACCACTTTGTAACGTGCCTTCAGCTGCCTGCCAGTGCTTGGATCCCTGTATACTGGTGCAGCAGCGCTGTGGGCCTAGTGCAGGGAATACCTATCCCAGGGACACGCCAAAAGTCAAATGTGCTTTCTCTGTCAGCTGCCACATTTACTATTTTTTTTCCTCAGAGATTAGTCTTGTGTGTGGTTTGTGCATGCATGTGAGTGGGTGGAAGTGAGGGGTGCATGGGCTTTTGTTCTAGGGAGTTCACCAGCAAGCCCCAGTGATCTTCCTGGCGCCACTTCCTCCAGTGCTGGGGTCACAGGTCTGCGCAGGGCTGTTCCCAGCATCTACATGGTCCTCAAGCATCATAACCACTGAGCAATCTCTTCAGCCCAAGTTCTAGCTCTTTAATAGGATTCTTTGTTCAAGGTGTTTAGAAACTGAGGCAGGAAAGGTGGCTTACTGGCCAAGAGCACTGGCTGCTCCTTCTGAACACCTGGGTTCAGTTCCCAGCACTTGCATTCCCAGCACAACCACCTTCTGCAACTCCAGCTCCAGCAGGTCTTTGCCTTCTTCTGGCCTCAGATGCATTATGTATATGTGGTACACAGACATACATATAGGCACAGCCACCCAGTCACATAAAAATAAATAATTAATTAAAAAAAAAAAAAAAAGATGCTCCTCCCTGTTAGCCAACTTCTTCTTGTTTCTCCTATCACTTTTTCATGGAACTGTTGAACAAACCTGTAAAGGAATTTAGAGAAGTTAATAGCAGCACCTACCACTTACCTTGAAATTCTGTTCTACTGGGGCAGGGGAGGGGAGCGTGTTTTGTTTTGATTTGGGTTTTTTTGGTTTTTGATTTTTGGATTATTTGGCTGGTTGGTTTGGATTTTCAAGACAGGGTCACTCTATGTAGCCATGGCTATCCTGGAACTCACTATGTAGACCAGGCTGACCTCAAATTCAGATCCACCTGCCTTTGTCTCTTGAGTGCTGGGATCAAAGGTGCATGCCACCAATCCTGGCTTTACTTGAGATTTTTTTTTTTTTTATTATTAATGTTTAGAAGCTGTTTGCCAAAGAAGAAATATATTCACTTCTAGATTCAAGTGCTAGCTAATCTCTAAGATGAATTATTTTAATATTCTTTAAAGCCTTTTAAAAAGTAACCCCTATTATATAACTCTGTTTTCATCCTTCACATTAATTCTCAACCTTATTAATATCTCTGCTTTTTGATCTCACTGCTTAAATGAAATTGTTCCCCAGGACTTTTCTAAAGGCTTCCTGGTTACTAGATTGTTCATTTAGGAAAAGTGTTCAGTGTGGCCAGGCAAGGTTGTGCATGCCTTTAAGGTCAACATTGGGAGGCCAAGGCAGGCAGAGCTCTGTGAATTCAGCAAGGGCTACATAGTGAGATCATGTCTTAGAACCACAGCATTTTCCCCCAGTTGTATACCAAAGGTCAAAAGAAACAACAAACTTAGTCTTTTCATTTTATTTTTTACTTTGGATTGACAGTATCTCACTCCAGGCTAGCCTGGAACTCACTCTGTACACCAGGCTATCCTCAAACTTGAGGCACTGTTTCTGCCTCCTGGGTGCTGGAATTACAAGCATGGGCCACTTTTTTTTTTTTTTTTTTTTTTTTTTTTTTAGTTTGGTTTGGTTTGGTTTTTGGAGACAGGGTTTCTCTGTATTAACAGCTCTGGTTGTCATGGGACTCACTCTGTAAACCAGGCTAGCATTAAACTCAGAGAGATTTGCCTGCTCTGCCTCCCGAGTGCTGAGATTAAAGGCGTGCACCACCATGACCGTCTGTTTCTTCATCCTTTTATAGCTCAAATTTTGACAGAAAAATGGTATACTAAACAGGATAAGTCAGTAGAATGCCTGTCATGTGGATAGGAACTATGGATTGAGAAATAAAGTAGGAAGGAGCAACTAGGAAGATTTAGAGGTGCAGTTTTAGACAGTAGCCAAGAAAGCACTTAATGAGAACGTGACTTGAAAAATGTGCTCCCTCCCCAAAAGAAGTCAGGTCACTCCAGTGTTATTATCTAGGGGAAGAATTTTATGGACAGAGGAAGCAATCAAGGCAAAAGCCTGGAAGTAAGGATGTCTCTTGCTTTGCAGACATGCCCAGAAAGACAGTGTGACTAAAGCAGCAGATTGAAGGGTGAGGGGAAGCAGAGGACTCTGTGGGTGCTTCTTTAATGTACCAGTGAATTGCCTAGACATCCCATTAAAGTGCAGATTCTCATTTAGAAAATCTAGGTAGGGCAGAGGTTCTGTTTCTAACAAGCTTGCAGGTAATGCTGTAGACACTGACAGGCCCGTATTCTGGGTGGGAAGGACTGTAAGGTCCTGAAACCTCCTGAACACTGGAGGTTTGATTGAACAGAATGGTAAGATCTGACTGATTCTTAATAATCTGACTGTTGTGCTGCCAGTGGGCAGAAGGGAGCTGGAGCAAGGAGACATGAGGACCTGAGAAGCATCACTCGTAGCCTTTAATCCCAGCACTTGGGAGGCAGAGGCAGGTGGAGCTCCATGAGTTTGAGGCCAGCCTGATCTACAGAGCAAGTGCCAGGAGAGGCTTCAAAGCCACACAGAGAAACTCTGTCTTGGGGTGGGGGGAACCACACATTGTGGGAATGGAGCTAGTGAGAAGTATAGAATTCTATATGTATTTTGATAGTAAACCAAACAGGATTTAGCTATGAGACCAGAGGAGTAATGTGAAAAGAGAGAAAAGAACAAAGACAGTTTCAAAGTTTTGGCATCACCTAGCTGGAAAGATGGAGTCACCGCTTACTGAGCGGTGGGGGAACTAACAGTTAGTGAAAGGAAACTTAATCAAGAAACTATAAAATGGAGATGCTTGTTAGAACTCTTAAGCTGGGATGTCAGTCGGGCAGTGTCATGCCAAGTTCTGATGTTGTAGGAGGTTTAGGCCAGAAAGTAAAAGTTGAGATTATCAGTGTCTAGCTAGTGTTAATGCCATGAGACTAGATAAAATCACCAAAGGAATGCTCACTGTGCGGAAAAGGGAGGAGGAAAACACCTAAAGAGCCTGAGCTCTGGGAGACTCTAACACTTAAAGGCAAACAGAGAAGGAACAGCCAAAATCACAGTGAGAGCTGAGAGGCAGCAGAATAATATTACAGACACACAAGGGGCCTAGAAACTGATGGCTGTCCCAGTTCCTTCTGGTAGGTTGGATGAGGACTGAGAAATGACATTGGATTTCACAGGATGTTTACTGGTGGCCTAGATAAGGATTGTAAACTTGCATCTCCTCTGAAATGCATTTCAGAGAGGATGGGAGAAAATTTAATTCAGCAAGTATGACCTGCTCTTTCTAGGGTGTTAGCTGTTTTTTTGTCTTTTTTGTTTGTTTGTTTTTGTTTTTGAGACAGGGTTTCTCTGTATTGCTTTGGAGCCTGTCCTGGAACTAGCTCTGTAGACCAGGCTGGCCTTGAAGTCACAGAGATCCTCCTGCCTCTGCCTCCTGAGAGCTGGGATTAAAGGCATGTGCTCCCAACACCCAGCTGGGTGTTAGCTGTTGATAGCAGGAACAGATGAAGACCTTCACTGGGAGTTATGTAGAGACTGTCTTTGTTTTGTTTCCTTTTGCTTTAAGAACTATACAAGCATATTCTCAACAGAGTATTCCAATTGTATAGAAAGAACTGGTGATGTCACACAGGGTAGAACTGCTGAAAATCTGGCCTTGAGTAGCCAGGGGAGTGAGGTCAAGGGTGAAGGCTCGTTGGCTATAGCTAGGAGTATGCACAGTGGGCACCTGTGACTACTCCCTTCAAATAGCTGCCCATGTCTGTCATGAATGTGTGTAACTGTTATTCTTTCCCAACCTGAATTGTATATTTTGCTGAAAGAAAAATGTTTGAAACTTAGGAAGCTTTAAACTGTTGATGTTTGAAATGAGTGATGGTTAAAGCAAGAGCAGCCTAAAACAGCCAGGTTAATTGAAATATTTGCAAAATAATGCCTACTGGGATCAGACTAGATCTCAGGAATACTTCTTCTTCTTCTTATGTATATATTTCATGTGTATAAGTGTTTTGACTACATGTATGTAAGTGCACCACATGCATGCTTGGTGCCTGGGGAGATCAGAAGAGGGCATTTAATACCCTGAAACTGGAGTTAAGCATGATTATGAGCCACCATGTTGTTGCTGGTAATTGAACCTGGGTCCTCTGTAAAAGCACAAGTGTTCTAAACCACTGGGCCATCTCTCCAGCCCTAGGGGCACTGCATTTTAAGGAGCAGTTAATATTGACTTCATAGCTGCTTGTTTAACATACACTAATTAAAGGACCTCAGCAGTCTAGAAACCTCCTATATAAATCATTGGTATGTCCTAGAAAAAGTCAGAAAAGTATCGTTTCTTTCAACTACAGTAGTCTGCCTCTGTTTTCTTTCATTGTTCCATCCACTATAATCGATATTTGTTCCCTTAATTCCACTGAAACTATATTCCCCTAAAGCTACCTAACCTTTAAGGATCCAAATTTAGCAGACTGTTTTTAGCATATCTATTTGTTGGTTTCTTTATTTTGTTTTCTTAACAGTGTCTTAATTGGTAGCCTGGCTGACTTAGAACTTTCTATTATAGACCAGACTGGCCTTGAACTCACAGAAATCCACTTGCCTTGTCTCCCAAGTGCTGGGATTAAAGTCATGCCCCTCCTCACCAGCTAGCCTATCTTATTTGACCTTAACACTTTTTTTTTTTTTTTCCTTTCTTTCTTTTCTTAATTTTTTTTTTTTTTTTGGTTTGGTTTGGTTTGGTTTTTCAAGATAGTGTTTCTCTCTGGCTTTGGAAATTGTCCTGGAACTAGCTCTTGTAGACCAGGCTGGTCTCGAACGCACAGAGATCTGCCTGCCTCTGCCTCCTGAGTGCTGGGACTAAAGGCATATGCCACCATTGCCCAGTTTAACACCTTTTTTCTTGGTTTCTGTTCTTTCTTTTTTAAAGTCTCCCTGTCCTTTCTCGAGTAGCATTCACCTAATTCTTGAGTCTCCTTTCCTAATATTTCTAACACTTGCTTTTAAAATGCTATCATCTTGACCATGTTCTATGGAACCTCTCTTCTCAGTGCCTTTTTGGAGAATACCTAGCAATCATTTCCCTAGACGGCTGCCTTCCAGCTCTTGTATCTTTTATATATATTGTTCTTTCATACACTACATCCCAACCACAGTTTCCCCTCATCCACTCCTTCCAGCGCCCAACCCCCAACACACACACACACACACACACACACACACACACACACACACACACACTTATCCACTATTCCTCCATTTCCCTTCAGAAAAGAGAAGGCTTTCCAGGGATATTAAGCGAACATACAAGTTACAAAAAGACCAGACACAAACTTTCATGTCAAGGCTGGACAAGGCAATCCAGTAAGAGAAAATGGGTCCCAAGAGCAGGAAAAAGATTCATAGACACACCCACTCTCACTGTTAGGGGTCCCACAAAAACACCAAGCTACACAACCATAATATATGCAGAGGACATAGCTCAGACCCTTACAGGCTTCATGATTGTCCATTCAGATTCAGTGAGTCATGTTCTTCTGGTGTCCTCCTTCCCCTCTTCTGTAGGGTTCCCCAAGGTCCACCTAATGTTTGGCTGTGGGTCTCTGCATCTGCTCCCATCAGTTGCTGGATGGATTCTCTCTGACAATGATTGGACTAAGTTCTGATCTTTACGTATAACAGAATATTGTTAGGAATCTTTTTTTTTTTTAACCAGTTATGTTTAGGTCTAGCCTAGGTCCCTGGGCCATCCAGTTAGTGTCAGGCATGGGCTCCCTCTCGTAGTGTGGGCCTCAAATTGGACCAGTCATTTGTTGGCAACTCCCACACATTCTATGGCCACTATTACCCCATTATATCTTGCAGCAAGACAAACTGAAAGTCAAAGGAGGATGCTACAAGTTGTTTTCCGGCCAGCCTGGCCCCAGAGCCACTGTCAGCCCCAAATAACACAGAGACACTGTATTAGATATAAAACTGTTGACCTGTTACTAGCATTTCTTATTGGCTAGCTCTGTCTTAAATATTAACCCATTTCTATCAATCTAAGTGTTTCCATGTGGTCTTATCTTACTGGAGAGAGGGTCTGGACCTCTGCTCTCTGGGTCCTTCATGTTGACTCTCCTCCTACCTCTCCCCGAATCCTCCTTGTCTCCTAGTCCCACCTATCTTGCTTTCCTATTGGCCAACAGTACTTTATTCATTAACCAATACGAGAAATATATGTACAGAATGATATCTCACATTAGGAGGGTTTTATGGCTTGGTTGGTGTCCCAATCTCACCTTGTCTGGTTACAGAAAGATGGCCAGTGCAGGCTCTGTGTCCTTACTTCTGTATCTCAGGTAGTGAATTCAGTGGTCCATTGGAGCTCTCCACTTAATTATCATCTCATTCATATACCCTGTTTTGTCCATAATTAATAGTAATTCCTAATCCCCTGCTGGAAGCCTCAGAATTACCTTGGACTATTAATTTTCCTTTACTGTTTATGCTCATTCATTCATTAAGTTCTCTCCAGTTTCCACCTTTTGTGTCTCTTAGCTTTTGCTCCTCTGTTCTTTGTTCTGCTTGTGTTTACTTTCCTCCATGTGTTGCATAGCTCTTAATTGGACTTTCTTCTTTTAGACCTTGTTCTTTCTGCATAGGATGATGATGTCTACCTGATCAGTGCCTATTCATCTTTTAAGACCTCCTTTGTGAAATCTTTCTTAGCAGCCTCTCCACATACAGAAAATTCATTTGACCCTCTCCATTGCCTCTTAGAACACTTTTTGTAAACATCGATTGCAGTACTTGCATTGCATTACAATTAGTGCTGATTGTCTTGTGGGGTGCATATTCTTTCAGAGTAATAATAAAATATTACTCTATTGTCCATTTTCCTGCCTCTCTTACCTTTCCAGTACCCCTTTAAAAAAGAAATAAATAACTTACTAGTTCATGCAAATCTCAACCATCTGTACCTCCTTGTCTACTTCTTAGAAGAATTTACTAGGCATGGATTATTGGAAGGAGAATAGTGTACCTGCCTGACTAACAATTTATACTTGGACTATGGTTGTAGCTCATCACAGAACACTTGTCTAGCATGTGTAAGGCTCTGGCCTTGATCTCCAACACTTTGCAAAAAAGTGTATTTAAACTTACTGTACTACATAGTCAAGTAATCAGGTTGTTACTCAATATATAATCTTAAGAAATTATAGCCTATATTATATTCCATAAGAGTTATTCCTACGCTCTTTAAGAAATGGCTGTTTTATGGTAGGGTCGAAGTACCTGGACAGCTCCTACTCCTATTCATCTGGTCCATTACTAGTGTTTCCTCCATCCCACTGCAAACACATGAAAGGTAACATATAATAGCCAAGCTCTGTAGCATGCTAAGAGCTAAAGAGAGATCATTGTTTTGGACAGAAATTAGAGTTGGTTTTGCTAGGAAATGTCTACGAAAACATCATTATATTTTATAGAGATTGTGGTGCTGGAAGTACTTCAAGTACTGATATGTGCTTTTGCTGGTAGGAAAGTTTGCCTTCAGCTTGATAAGAGAAGCTTTGCTACTGTCCATACTAAACTTCTATACTTCTGCCTATTACTCAGGTTAACACATCCTGAGGGTCCATACGGCAGCACAGCCACATCATCCACCAACAACCCAGAATTTGTGGAAGACCTCTCCCAAGGCCAACTGCTCCAGAGTGAGTCTTCCACTGCTGTGGAAGGCAATGAGCAGAGGCATGAAGATGAGGTAAGCTAAAACCCCCTGTCACAGTCCTAAAACTTCCAAAGCAGCAGGCACACAAGGGGTTGTTGAGTGAAGTGACTGGGCTGACACTTGCCCAGTTTTCTCACATCTGTCTTTAGTTATTCTAGAAGTTTTTCTAGAAGTTATTCTAGAAGTTTTTATCCGTGGTTTTAATGACACAGAGACAAATGACTGTGTCCTCAATCTAACTAGCTACCTTTTATGAAATGGTCCACAGTGTGCAGGAGTTGTTTTGTTATTTTTGTTTTTAATTTATTGCTGTTATTGCTGTTTTAATACAGGGTCTCAGGTCAGCCAAGCTGCATGCTAGTAATACATATGTGCCCACCATGCTCAGCCTTGACAGATACTTGTTTTGTGAATGAATGATTTAATTAGTAACTACTGAGAGGTCTTCATGCCCTTGGTCATGGCTATACTCTGCTCACAAGCCCTAGAGCACAAAGTCACATGAGCCAAAGGATTCATTCCATTTAATGACACCGTCTCCCTCCCATAGGGTCCGTCTCTCTCTGAATCACACAAAGGTTCAGTATGGGCATGAGCAGTCATGTCCTTGTTGAACCTCCAGACTTCCTTATAGATAACTGATCACATTGTACTTTTTAAGACAAAAAAGAATAGCGTCACCGATTTTTGTCTTTTATGTGAAATAACTAGTTTGTTCATTTACCCCATTAGCATTCTTAAAGATAATAATGAATGTTAGCAGCTTTTCATTGACTGATGTATTTGTTGTGGGTGTAGGTGTGTAATGCTGGGGGCTCATGCTAAGCATATTCTCACTGAGCTACATCTCTTGGCTCCTTAGTAGCTTCTTGTTCCTAGGTTTCCAAAAAATAAACAAAACTGGATACCTAATCTCTAATATACTATTTGCCAAATGGAGGACTATCACTATTCACATATATTTGGAGGAGTACAGTACTATAATTAATACATAGATGTTTTATTTCATTTTTGAATCTTGTTTACCTTTTTCTTCTCTTGAAATAAGAATTCCTGTAACCATAATACATTAACTGATAGACTATATGTTTACTGAATTACGGAGCAAAAATATGATAGGCTTAGGTCTCATTTAGAAGGCCAAGAAGAAAGGCTGTGGTAAAATATCAGTGATACTGCAGTATTGTTTTTTTTTTTTCTTTTTAAGCATTTCAAAAGTTGGTTTGATCTAAACTCAGTACATAAAGACTTCTATCTCAAAAAAAAAAAAATAACAACAACAAAAAGCCTTACAACTTTATAAAACATACATTTAAGGAACAAATCATCAGGCCAAAGAACTTGTCTTCACTTTGGATATGTTACTGATATTGTCCTGGGACCTAAATATTAATTTGAATATCTGTATGCTGTTTGCTATGGGAAATTAACTGGTGACAGGGAGGAACACTTTCATGAATTATTTTTAATCCCCTTATTGCAGCTCTTCTTTCGCTTGGTGCATGTGACATCTTATTCTGGTCTCCTGTGACAGCGTCTGCTTCTCTGGCACAGTGCTGAGTGTGTTGCTGAATTTCTCATGTAGAAATCCCTGTCAGGATGCGTAGAATAAGGCCAAAGCTTGCATGATCACAGTACCCCATTCTCATCTTCTGGGATTAGCACAAAGAATGGTGATGCATGCCTAAAATCCCAGCACTCAAGAGGCTGAGGCAGTAGGATCACCATGAATTTGAGGGTGCCCTACATACATAATGAGTTTGAGGCCAGCTTATGCTACCTAGAGAAACCCTGTTTTCAAAAATTTTAATAACTCTTTCTTTTCCTAGTTTGTAGCATGATGCCTTAAAGCAATGGTTCCCAACTTTCCTAATCCTGTAACACTCTAACACAGCTCCTCATGTCATGGTGACCCCAACCATAAAATTATTTTCATTGTTATTTCATAACTGTAATGTTGCTACTGTAAACATCTGATATGCAGGCTATCTGTTATGCCATCCCTGTGAAAAAGTTCTTCGACTTCCAGAAGGGACTCTCCCCACAGATTGAGAACTGCTGCCTTAAAGGGTCTATAGTTGAAACATGTGAAACTCCTTACTTAACTTTGTAGTCTTGTACCTTACTGATCTGGGGAGCTTTGAATATCCAGGGCTTTATAGGAAAATGCACCTCAGATCCGGATCCTCTTTTGATGTTGGTGTTTGTTATTATGGTTGGTGGGTTACTGGAGTGATTACTGTTTGGGTTTTGTTTTACATTTTTGCTTTGTTTTATAGCAAAGAAGTAAACGAGGAGGTTGGTCCAAAGGGAGAAAAAGGAAGAAACCTCTCCGAGACAGCAATGCACCCAAATCCCCCCTTACAGGCTATGTTCGATTCATGAATGAGCGTAGGGAACAGCTTCGGGCAAAGAGACCAGAGGTCCCATTTCCAGAAATCACAAGGATGTTGGGCAATGAGTGGAGTAAACTTCCTCCTGAGGAAAAGCAGGTGATTGTTCTTGCTTTTGGTCCTTTGCTTGTTTTTATTATATCTCAGAAACAATTTGGAGGCTGGAAAGATGGTGCAGTGGTTAAGGAAGATATTGAAACCTAGAGTAGTAAAGCAGGTTAAACAGTGCCACGTGCTGGCCTCATGTACTGGGGTTGAGAGAATGTACCCAAAAAAATATGTCGGCAGTCTCAGAACAGGGCCTTTGCAAATGTAATTAACTAAGGATATGTCAGACTGGTTCAGATTGGACCTGACCCAGTGACATGTTCATAGAGGGAGAGAATGAAGACAGGCATCCATGGAGAGGGCCATATAAAGAAGGAGGCAGAAATAGGAATTAAGTTTCTATAAAGCCAGGAACAACAAAACCACCAGAAACTCAATGGGGAAGGAGAAGAAGACCAGAATAGCAGAATCCTTGTGGTTCTTCTTTCTAGTTCAGTGAGTAGATTTATTGGAGGGTTATTAGCTAAAAGGACTCTAGAATCCACCCCCAACTAAAGCAACTACATTTTATTTAATGTGTTTACTGAGTTCACAGAAGAATGTTTTGAAAGTGGTTCAATATTAAGAAATTAAGAAATCTATCAAAGTAATGTATTCCATTGAGCTAAATGAAAATAATGAATAAAAATGAGGGAAAAAATCATTTGCCAAAATTCTTCAATTCACATAAGAATTTTATCTAAGAAAAAGATCTTATTGCTTTACCGATTGTTTTAACTAGAGTTCTAGCAAATTTAACCGCTACAGAAAATAAAGCAGAACTACTTGATCTCTCTCCTCTAAGACAGAAACTAACTGTATTGCTAAAGTGAAATGAGAGTCCCTTTGTTAGAGAGAGTGGAGGGGAGTTAAGCATAAGATGGCCATGCACTGTGTGAAAGGCCACTGCAACAAGGGATGATGGTCACTGAGGCTGACGGGCTTTGCACTAAAAGCCCCACTTCCCAGCATCTGAAAGATCTATATTTCTTTTATGTCTTAAACTCTTTTATGGCTTGCACTCTTTAAAATGGATTCCAGAAAGACTAAAACTAAATTGAAAAAAAAAAAAAACTATCTTGGGAATTAATTGAATTCAAAATTTTTCAAAGAAATGAGATTAAATTTTAATTTGAAGCCTTGTGTTTGTGGTAAGCAAGCTAATTAGGAAACAGTTTGTAACAAGGGAATCATCAGCTGGACATGCCAGGTTATTATTTTCTTTTTTTATCTTTATTTCAAAGTTAATACATGCTCAAGGTTCATTTTTTCTGTTAATAGCAAGTGTGTAAACAGAAAGCAGAAGTAACAGTAGTTCTCTCATGATAATCACTGCTGGCTGATTAGGACAAGGTTTTGTATGTGTTTGATCAACTTTTTATTTTTAAATAGTTTCAAATACACAAAAAATTACAAATACAGAAATAGTACAAAGAACATCCAGAAATCCTAAAACAGCTTCTCCTGTTGCTAACACATTGTATTGTGTCCCTTTTCTCCATTAACATGTATTTGCTCTTTAATACACACACACACTACACACAATTTTTTTCCTAAATCATTTAAAGTTAAATTACATATATCCTGACCCTTATCCCTAGAATGCTTTTGTACTTCCTAATAATAGAGATCCTCTGTTACATAGCTGATAAAGTCATCAAGTTCATAATTTTGTGTTAACATATTGCCATACTGTACACTCAGATACTAAAGTGATGCTGTTCCTGCTAACAACATTCCTTCATACAGATGTTAAGCTAACAACAAGCTGTGTTTATTTGTAATTTTTTTCAGGCTGTTGCCACAGCATTGCTTTGCCTTCCTAAGTTATGCTTTGATGTTCTTAGAGACTATGAACTTTCTCTCTCCCCAAATCAGACCCCTCCTTTCCCCATACCCCATGTGTGGTTTTTGTTTGTTTGCCTGTTTGTTACTTTTGAGGAAACATTCTTCATTTTCTGCTTGTCTGGTATTTCCTTGTGATTAGGATGATGTTCTGCATTTTTTTGTCAGAATAGATGATATGTACTACTCAGAGTATCACGTATGTAGGCATACCATGCCGTTTATTACTTGTTTATAATGCTAATCTTATTGTCTTGGTGAATATTTCATTACCAGTCTATGGAAAGATATTTTAAAGACAAGAGTAATTTGTTTCACATCAAAAAAATTCCATATTGCTAGAATTGGAAGCCTTTAATCCCAGCACTCAGGCAAGTGGTGCTCTTAAAAGTTCAGAACCATCTACATAGTGAATTCCAGGCCAGCAAGGCTACACAGTGAGACCTTGTCTCAAAAAAGAAAAGAAAAGGAAGCTGGGCGGTAGTGCACGCCTTTAATCCCAGCACTCAGGAGGCAGAGGCAGGGGGATCTCTGTGAGTTCAAGGCCAACCTGGGCTTCAAAGCTACACAGAAAAACCTTGTCTTGAAAAAAAAAAAAAAAGAAGAAGAAGGAAAAAGAAGAAAAGAAAAGGAGAAAGATCTATATGATCTGAAGAGAAACCAGAGCCAGGCATGGTGGTATATGCCTTTAATTCCAGCACTTGGGAAGCAGAGGCAGGAGGATCTCTGTGTATTCAAGCCCAGCTTGGTTTACATAATGAGTTCTAGAATACCCAAGTCTATGTAAAAAGACCCTGTCTCAAGAAAAAAAAAGAAAAGCATTTCCCCTATACTTAATATCTACAGATAAGTTTCACCTTATCTAATCTTTATCATTATGCTTACAAAATGATAATTTTCCCCACTCTAACACTCCTCACAGTTACAAATTGACCCTCAGCTTTCCAATCTATGCAGGGGCCTTATTCTTCCCTCCTCTTAACACTTGCTTATATCGTTTGTTATTGGTATGATCATAAATAATTCATATAATCAACTTATGGTATAAATGTCTTTTTTCTAGCAGTTTATAATTTATTACCATATTTAATTATTTGTTCCTTAAATCACCCCAGATTTGGCCAGTCCCTTATATCTGCTGTTGGGGGGCAAGAGTTCTAACCTCTGAATCTGGTTTGTTCATTTGCAGGCAGCACCTTTTATACTTTTTTCTACCTAATTTGATGAATGAAATGGACAAGGCATTAAGCAAAACAATTCTGGAGATCAATGGACTTGTTTAAATAATTAATAGCACAAAATGATTAAAGCATACAGCTAAAGCTCTCTTAGAGTAGTCTCTTTTAGGCCGTAGTATGAGATCATTCTTTTCATGTTCTCCAGCTTTAGTGTTCCACTCATCTGGCTTTTTAAAAGGCCAATGGATGTATGAGATCATTCCCTCAAAGTGAGCTGATAGTACAAAAACACACTAATATTCCTTCCCTTCCCCTGGGAACATGTGCCTATATGGGGTTCAGACCTCTGAAGAACTCTAGTGGCCATGTTGAAATTCTATCTGTAAGGCTAGGGAGATTGTTGACTGTAATCTTCATGAATGTTTTATGATGGTGCTCTCGATAGATCCTACCTTCATTAAACTAGGAAAGGCAACACACAGTCTAGAAATTCAATCACTCATTTATTCTCTAAATGTTGTATTTTGTTTATTTTATGTGTGCAAAGTCAGGACAACTTTCAGACACTAGTTGTTTCCATCAACCAGGTGGGTTCCTGGGATCAAACTGAAGTTGTCAGGATGGCAGCAATCATCTTTACCTAATGATCTACCTCAACAGCCCTTGTTCATTTTATGATTGAAAATTTTTATTCTATACTATGACTGCTTTCAGATTCTCCTACAACATACTGACTGTATACTTTTTTTCATGTTTTAGTTGATCCTTTTCTTTAAAAGGCTAATTGATATTTCACCTAACATCTCAGTTTCTTGAAAATAATCCCACACTTCTTTCCTAGCGCTACCTTGATGAAGCAGACAGAGATAAGGAACGTTACATGAAGGAACTGGAGCAGTATCAGAAGACCGAGGCCTACAAGGTCTTCAGTAGGAAAACCCAGGACCGTCAGAAAGGCAAATCTCATAGGCAAGGTATCAGAACCAAGTGCATACATGGTGGAATGTTATGAATCCAACTGTTGAGGTGGCAAATATGAAAGATATGTTTCTGTCATCTATTATCCTGTATTCACTTAACAGATGTCACCCTAGAATTTTACCAAAATCACATCATTCTCCTTTTCCATATCTGAGATCAACAGATTGTTGATCTGTTTCATGGTCCACAACTATTACTACCTACCTGCCTTTCTTTGTGTAGTTTCCAAGTTAGGCATTTCTCTACTTTAAATGTCTGTCTGCTACACCATGCAACTAACTTGTCCTAAGACTTTTCTGTGCTATTCCTCTCGGCCTCCATGATCCCCTTCATTCAATAATTTATTCATGCATGAATTCAAAAGGAGATCTATTGAGCTTCTGTTAAGTGCCAGACTCTCTTCTAGGCATTGAGGGAATGATAGTGAATGAGACGGCATCTATGTCTTCACGGGATCTTTTTTCTCTGTTGAAATCGTACATCACATCCTCACCAGTCTTGCTCCAGTTCCCCTCTCCAGGAAACACTGCCAAAGGCATACCACCCACACTGGTCTGTCATCCCTTAGCCACAGCATCTTCTCCACACTTGCACATCTAGGCTGCTAAAACCTTTGGCATGTGTTTCCTACCTACTCTCACACCCTCTTCTCTCAAAGGTAAGAACTGTCTGCTGTTTTCTTGTGCTAATTGTGTGATCTGTAGATGTGGGGTTCCATTTAGCTTTTGTTGACTGACAGTTCATAATGTCATGAATAAAAATATCATATGTTGTGAAAGTCCGCAGATACCAGCAAGCTTTGTGGTTGGCACAGTCATATACTCGGGCTTTGCTACTGTTTTCTTTTTCAATTTAATGTTTTCTTTATTCTTTCATATTTTTAGATGCAGCCCGACAGGCCACTCATGATCATGAGGTAATTGCCTTTTATCTGCATTCACATATATATTTATAGTAATATTGCTGTTTGAAATGCTGTTATTTCTTTTTTTCTTTTCATGAATGGTAGTTTTTTTTTTTTTTTTTTTTTTTTTTTTATCCCATAATTCAGACTAAGTTGCTTTGGCTCATGGGTTCTTAACATATGGTAGACACTTATGTCATGAATCTGCCTTTGAACTACAGTCCCTAACCCCAATCTGTTCCTGTAGTCTAAGAATTTTATTAGTTTTAAATGCCAAGAAATGGCTGGAATTCATAGTTAGACACAGAAATGGAAGCCAGCTAGGGGCTGCAACTTGGGCGAGTTTATCATCAACAAATGCTGCCGTCCCACTTCAGAAAGGTGATACTTGAGAACTCCAGCATTTGGTTAAAATGATCCTCAGTGTCACACAGCTGACTGACGCTCAGTACCTGGACATCCTTCCCTGTCCTCACCTCATGGGCATGTGCTTGTTTATTGACCTTTGCCCTCTAATTTGCTTTAACCCTGACAGTAGGATTTAAGCCTGTGTTTTGTGTGTGTGTGTCTAATACATAAGCTTGTATGTTTGACTATGCTGCTTTTATATGTTTCAGATGTAGATCTAGGCTGTTAAATGTGGTTACAAAAAAAAAAAAATCTTTGGTCATTCTGTGCTTTAAAATGTCAGGGACTCAAAATAATTAATTAATTAATTAAAATAAATAAATAAATAAAATGTCAGGGACTCATCTTTGCTCACCAAATCATATTCAAACACAGCAGTCAGGGTCATCCTTAGTCCCAGCTTCTCATTCAAACACCTTAAAATACTTACTGCTCACCACCCTCCAGGTGCTGTTTGTTCTCCTTTGCCTTCTGTCTGTCTTCCGCCTGTTCTCTTCACAAGATAATCTCCTTCTTATACTCTCCATCTTCCTATTTCTGCTTCTCAAAGTTAAAGGCATCCTTCAAGCCCTATTGAGTCTCATTTCCTCCTTGGCTCCTTTTATTTTTTCCAGCTTGCTTTAACCTTTAAAGTTGCTATACTTCTCCCGTATTGTTAGATGAGCTGGCCTGGTCTAGACTCTACCAAGCACTTCTCTTGTTCACATTCTGGATTAGGTATGGTCTCCCTGAGAGGGCATACCTGATCTAGTTTCTACCTTTCTACCCAATGCCATGCCACCTAGCGTGATGCTCTTGCATGGAGAAGGTGTTCTGTAAAAACTTATTTTCCCATGAGAATTCAAAAATGATTGAAAAGCAGTGGGAATTTAAAAAACAAAAAACAAGAAAATGGGTTTTCAAACTAGGAGATGGCTGGGTCCGTAAAGTACTCACATGCAAACATGAGGGCCTGAGTCAGATCCCCAGCACCCTTGTCAAACACTGTCAAGTGGAGATAGGGGAGGTAGAGATGGATGGATCTCTGGGTAATGATAGCCACCGAGCCTAACCTAATTGGAAGTCCCAAGCCAAAGAGAAGCGTGCCTTTAATCCCAGAGACTCGGGAGGCGGAGACAAGCAGATTTCTGTGAGTTTGAGGCTGACCTGGTCTACTTAGTGAGTTCCAGGACAGGCTTCAAAGCTACAGAGAAACCCTGTCTCAAAAAACCAAAACAAACAAAACACAAAACAACAACAACAAAAAAAAAATGTAGTAACTGGCAACATTAGGAATAACACCCAAGGTTGGCCTCTGGCATTCACATGTGCTATGGTATTTGGAATATTTCAGCAGATGTATGAGTGAGTTAATTAAAAAAAAAAAAAAAAGAAAAAGATTATATCTTATAAAATACCTAAAACAGCCAGGCGGTGGTGGCACACGCCTTTGATCCCAGCACTTGGGAGGCAGAGACAAGTGGATCTCTGTGAGTTCGAGACCAGCCTGGTCTACAAGAGCTAGTTCCAGGACAGCCTCTAAAACCACAGAGAAACCTTGTCTCGAAAAACAAAAAACAAAACAAAATAAAATAGCTAAAACATCATGGATTCTAAATACGTACTTATTTCTCTTATGAGGAGTGTAATAGTGTAATTCCAGTAGAACAAGCTTCCAGTCTGTCCTAGAATACTGAGATCTCAGACATATTCTCTGGTGCCCCATTTTGCCAGTAAGGGGGGTGACTTGCCTACAATAAGAGAGTTTATTCAACTTAAGTTAGAAGGGGTGGAGGGATGGCTCAGCAATAAGAGCACTGGATGCTCTTGCAGAGGGCCTGGCTTCAATTCCCAGCACCTACATGGCTACATGGCAGCTCACAACTGTCTGTAACTCTGGTCCCAGAAGAGCCCTCCTCTGGCCTCTGTAGATCCCAGGCACACATGTAGCACACAGCATACATGTAAGAAAAACCACCCGTACACATAAAAATAAACTAAATTTAAAGAAATAAAAATTTAAGTTAGAGGCAGTAGAGTAGCTTCTGCATCCCAGTTAGCCAATACTGACAACACAGTGGCATGCTACATGTTGAAAGTAAACACTGTTGAAAGTAAACCTGGGATGTCAGTCTGATGCTACTGAAGACAGATTTACCAGTTTCCATATAGTAAAGAAGCTGATTTTATTTCTGAATTGACTGAGATTCCCTAAGTCATTGTTGCCTGGACAGAAGCAACAGAGTACATCTGAGAGCTGACAAATGCACTCCTGGAAGCCATTCTGCATAGCAGAAGGCACTGCATTCAGGCTCATGAGAATAAGAATGGTCCTCAAGTAAAACGCACTTGAGAGATGTGTGGCATATTCTCTGTAGTCCTGGCCCTAAGTCACCTTTTCCTTTCACTCTGAGTGTACAGAATGGAAATCCAAAGAGAAGAACATTCTTGTCTTCTCAGTTCAAAAACCAGTGGTGGCACACACCTTTGATCCCAGTACTCAGGAGGCAGAGGCTGGTGGATCTCTGAGTTTGGGGCTAGCTGGGTCTACAGAACTAGCTGTAGGACAGACAGGGCTACACAGAGAAACCCTCTGTCTTGAAAAAAAAAAAAAAAAAAAAAAAAAAAGGCCCACTAGGTATAGGAGACAGTGAGCTTTACTCTCTAAAAAATGTCTTCATCTTATATGAATACTGAGCTAGAAACAATAATTTTGTTTAATTTATGAAAAATGACAAAATGACACTCAGCATGAACAAATTAGACCCTTCAATAAGGAGGTAATCAAATCCTTATGCTTTTAATCCCTTGAGCAATCCTTAGAGCGCTAAGTATATCCAAGCCCCCAGGAGGAGCCTCTCAGTGCCGAGTAATGTACTCAGTAATGGAGGAGTGCTGGTGGTTTTTATTACCACTCTTCCTTTAAGTAGAATGTCTCTGTTGCATTCAGAGACTGAACAGTTTTGTTTAATTTCTTTAATGTTTCTTATTTTGTACTCTAAGAATCTCTACCAAGAGGCAGTGGATATTGCACCTGACTGCTGCTAGCCTCTGCCCTTATATAATGAGTTAGTTTGGACTGTTCAGGCAAGGAATAGAATGGAATTACCATTCTGGGGAAAGTAAAGACCTTGAGAAAGGCGTTTTGTGCCCTAGTCATGGGAACCAAGCAACCCCTTATCATTCTGAATGGCAAATACTGGGACCCATGGTGAGGTCACTGTGCAACTGAGTAGGAAATTGAACAAGGTAAGAGAACTAAAGTTACAAGGCTCTGTTCTAAGGCGCTTATAGATTTAGAATTGGACCTATGGGACTGTGTGCATGTTGGGACTGTGTGTGATGCATTTCTTGTCACAACCAGGTAATAAAGTTAAAGCATACAGTAAGCCTGCAGTCTGTAGATAGCTACTGGAAATGTGGCTAAGATCCCTTTAGGAACCAATCTCTTTTGACCATACATTAATTAGTTCTCATTGGAATCCATTGGGAACTGTCTTGGGGGAGAGGTGTGCATGTCACAATGTGTCACTTTTGATGGTAACCCTGCTGTTTATTTTTAAATTGTTGTAGGAAAAGTTGCTTTCCTCCATGAGGAAAACAAAAGAATGTGGTAAAAAAAAAAAAATTAAGTACTCTGAAGTGAAATGTTCCTCAAGTAAAGACATAATTTTTCAGATTTCCATCCATTTTTTTAGAAAGATCTCACAAATGCTGTGATTACCTATCTTGGTCAGTTCCCATCAATAGGCAGTTCCTCCAGTCAGTCCCCTTCCTAGGCAAACACCAATGGGAGACAGGATCTCTGCTCTCAGCTTTCCTCCCAACTGAACTGCTTAGCTTTTCTGCTGGGCATCAAGTCATTTCTTTATTTAAAGATAAAAGTTATTGATAACAAGTAGAAACATTTTTTTTTTTTTTTTTTTTTGGTATTTTTGTAGACAGGTTATAAAGCCCCAACTGGCCTGGAACTCAGAAATCCACCAGAGCCACCACACCTAGCAAAAGGATACACTTTATCCTTTATTTTATACATTTTACCTTTTACCTTAACATGTTTTTATAGAAATAAATTCTGGGCTTTTCTTTACTGCTTTCTTATTGAGAGGTTTTAGAATCTTCAGATTTCACAATAGTTTCCTCATTTCCTACTCTTTATGTTATGCAGTATTTGCATATAAAATATCTATAGTTTATATGTCAGCCAAAAGAAGTTGAAATATTGGCTCTGTTATTTTGATGTTGTTCTTTTTAATTATTTATTTTTATTTTATATACATTGATGTTTTACCTACATGTATGTCTGTGTGAGGGTGTCGGATCCCCTCAATAGGAGTTGCAGACAGCTGTGAGCTACCATGTCGGTGCTGGGTATTGAACCTGGGCCCTCTGGAAGTGTAGCCAGTGCTCTTAACCACTGAGCCATCTCTCCAGCCTCTTGACTCTGTTCTTAAGGCTCGTGGCTAAATATATTGTACAGTAGTTTATGATTCTTAATGGTTTGTAGGTGGATTAATTGTGGCTTTGTTTCCATTTCTGTCTCACATAATCTTTAGATTTCTTATTTGTAGAGACTGATTATTTCTGGCTTCTTGGGTTTGTTTGTTTTTCCTGTGTCTTAAAGAAAAGTCTACAGGAGCCCCAAATATAAACTTCCCCTTCATAAATAGATAGAAGTACCAGCAGAATGCCATTATTATTGTTCATTGCTGGCACATAGATCTCTGCTTAGAATTTCTATTCTCCATTCATCAAATTTTGATTGCATACTCCCATCTCACATAGTGTTTAAATACATAGCCAATAAGAACAACTAAAATACCCTTTTTCAATTCCTGACCCAGGCATATTCACAACTCTCTACTATAGACTATTCAAAGCCCAGTGCTAGGAATGGGCTTTTCTTGTCTTCATTAATGAAATGCATGTGGGTTTGTTTTAAAGTCTTTCACTACCTAGTAGTCATATACCTAAGAGATCTGATATTAATTGCTCCAGTTCTGAAGTTCATTTTAATGAGTGAATATATACCTTCCCCCCCCCACCCCCAGGCCCTCCTGGTATGACTTCTGCTCACTGTTTCTCTGAGGAAGACATGATCCTTGTGCCTTGGGCACTATTATTTAATTTAACTTCTAAGAACTAACTTTTGTTCTTGATTCATAGAAAGAAACAGAAGTAAAGGAACGCTCTGTTTTTGACATCCCTATATTTACAGAAGAATTCCTGAACCACAGCAAAGGTGATTACTGAAGTGTTTTTCTATGTACCTTGGGTCTTTGACAGAGGATTTAGTTCTCAGGAGTTCATAGCTCATTGCTAACAGCCCTCCTTAGGACTGGAAAGGACTCTGCTGCAAAGAATGTCTGTTTTGAGAGAGAGAGAGAGAGAGAGAGAGAGAGAGAGAGAGAGAGAGAGAGAGAGAGAGAGAGAGGACAAGAAAAGAAAAGAAATTACAAAGCTGATCCCATTGCGGGACAGATGGGTATCCATAGCCAGTCTTCCTGGATACCCCTGTGAAGACCTTCAGGCTTCCTCACTGCACAATTTTAAAAGCAGATTTTAGCAAAATGATGGGAATTGCCAGTTTGTTGCAATCTTGTATATAGAATGTGTTGCTTTAAGAATTAAAATAGCTCTGGGGAGCCAGGCGTTTCATTGCTGAAATTGCTATCTGGAGTGTCATAAAGAGAATTGGGAGCCGAGAAGGGAGCTAATGAGAGACAGCTAAGCAGAACTTCCTTAGGAGCGTTACCGAGGCTCCTCAGAGGCGCCTTCTCTTAGCACATGTGTTCTGGGGTGCATGTGTCCTCAGCTCGTGAGGCAGAGCTGCGGCAGCTTCGTAAATCCAACATGGAGTTTGAAGAAAGGAATGCAGCCCTACAAAAGCATGTGGAGAGCATGCGCACAGCAGTGGAGAAGCTGGAGGTGGATGTGATTCAGGAGCGCAGCCGTAACACTGTCCTTCAGCAGCACCTGGAGACCCTGCGACAGATGCTGACCAGCAGCTTTGCCAGCATGCCCTTGCCTGGTAATGTCATCCTCTCCATACTCTTCCCATGGCAGGGAGAGTGGGTCGGTGTGGGGATGGGGAAGACTTTCTTTTTATTTACCCCTCCAGACAGGGTTTGTCTGTGTAATAGCCCTGACTGTTCTGGAACTCACTCTATATAGACCAGGCTTGCTTGGAACTCAGAGGTGTCTGCCTGTGCTACCCAAGGATCAATGGAAGATAGGCAGGGCATGGTGATTCACACCTCTAATCTTAACACTTGGGAAGCAGAGGCAGGAGGATCTCTGTGAGTTCAAAGCCAACCTGATCTACATAGTGAGTTCTGGGATACCTAGGGCTACATAGTGAGACCCTGTCTCCAAAAAAAGTAGTATTTGTAGTATTTCTTACCTACACTCTCATTTTAATTATGGTCATGGCAAAAATCATAGTATTATTGTCATTCCTGCTTCATAACTGTATTTTTGCTACTGTTGAGTCATAATGTAAATATCAGTGTTTTTCAATGATCTTAGGTGACCTCTGTGAAAGAACCAAAGAATCAAAACCCATAGGTTGAAAACCACTGGTTTAGAATATGTATTAGTTGTTTGTTGCTGTGATAAAACATCATGACCAAAAGAGACTTACAGAAGAAATAGCTTATTTTGGCTTATGGTTCCAGAGGGGTTAGAGTCCATCTTGTTGGGGAAGTGTGGCAGTGGATGGCAGGCAAAGTAGCCAGAGCAGGAAGCTGAGAGATGGCATCTTCTACCAAAAACGCCAGGCAGAGAGAGCTCACCGGAAGTGGGACACAGCTGTAGACTCACAAAGCCCTCCAACTAGCCTCTACCTGGTTCCATGCCCTCCCAAAACAGTGCCATCAACCAGGAACCAAGTGCTGACATATGTAAGTGCTGGGTGGTGGTGGCTCTTTAATCCTAGCTCTTGGGAAGCAGAGGCAGGTGGAGCTCAGAGAGTTCATGGCCAACCTCTACAAATCAAGTTCCAGGACAGCCAGTGCTGTTGCACAGAGAAACCCTGCCTTGGGAGTAAAAATAATAATAAGCCTATATTTCTCATCTAAATCACCACAGACTATGAAGATTAGCATCCTATCTTTGAGGTCTAAAAGTCTCTCCTATGCAATTAAAATCTGTCTCTTTAAGCAAACCACATTAGTGTCAAGATTTTTTTTTTTTTTTTAACATGGATTTGTTAAATGTCATGTAGCCAAACTGCATGGGGAAAGTTTTCTTTGTCTTTTTATCTCACTTCAGGAAGTGGAGAAATGCCAACAGTGGACACCATTGACTCATATATGAACAGACTGCACAGTATAATTTTAGCTAATCCCCAAGACAATGAAAACTTCATTGCTACAGTCCGAGAGGTTGTGAACAGGCTTGATCGTTAAGCACTGGTGAGTGCACCCTGATAGGATACTTGCATGCCAGCCAATCTTCAAAAGTGGGTTGTCCTCAGACATCAAGATTGCTAAAATATGGAACTGCACTAAGTGACCGATATAGAAACTTGATTTAGGTTCCCTTTGTGTAATTGAGATATCTTTCTCACTAATATAAAAACAGACTCAAGATGGTTTCTCATATATGTGTAATGCTTGCTTAATGGAAGCAACATGGTTTTCTTGTTGGAACTCAGCTCTAGCCTTACCGCTTACTACATCCAAAAGGGTCTTGAAGACTCTGGGAAAGTTTAATGGAAATCACCCACAAAATAGTTCTCAGAACAAAATAAATAGCATTTGTCTGGTTATCTGTCTTTTCCATGATGAATATTAGTGCTAATTTATAAGTTAATAGGAACTTGTATATTTAATCCTATAGAAGTAAGAATTGTTCTTATTCACCACTCAGTAATAGTGTGACTGTTATATGTTATATATTGATATAAACTAAACTTCAGTGAAGCAGTTTATGTCTTAATTTTAAAAAAAGTTTTAATAAAAGCAAGACAGTAGCACACACCTGAGGTCCCAGCCCTTGTGAGGCTGAGGCAGGAGGATTGTGAGTTCAAGATCAACATGGTAGATGGTTCCTGAGAAATGACAGCCTTGAATGTCCTCTAGTCTGCATGTGCATTTGCACAAACACCCACATACTCACATGTATACACACATACAATAAAACAAAAAAGCTAGGCATGTAATCCCAGCACTTAGGAGATAAAAGCAGGAGAGTCAGCGTTCCAGATCACCTGATCTTCATAGTAAGTTCCAAGGCTAACATACCAAGACCCCCATCTTTTAAAAAAATTTAAAAGGTGGCTCATGCCTTTAATCCCAGCAGAGACAGGGGAATTTCTGTGAGTTCAAGGCCAGCCTGGTCTACATAGTGAATTCCAGGATACCAGGATTACATAGAAAGACCCTGTCTCAAAAAAAAGTAGAGGGGGGTGGGGAGGATAACTAGGAAGATGACTCAGTAGTTAAGAGTACTTGATATTCTCCAGAGGACCCAAGTTCAGTTCCCATCACCCACATGGCAGCTCACGACTGCCTATAACTCAAGCTCCAAGGGATCTGATGTCCTCTTCTGGCCTCTGTGAACATGTACATACATGCACACACACACACACACACACGCACACGCACACACGCACGCACGCACGCACTTGTATATGAATGAAAAGTCAACAAATGAGTAGCAGCAAGTGTTCTATCCTGTTGGGGGGGGGCCAGAAAGTACATTTCCAAAAGAAAACTGCCCATGCCCATGAAGACTTTTTGGAACTAATGGGCTGTCATCAGATACCATTGCTTTCTAAGACAGAGTCTCAGTGTTTAGCCCTTGCTGATTCAGGACTTGCAATGTAAACCAGGCTAGCCTCAAATTCATAGAGCACCTCCTGCCTCTAATTCCCAAATGTTTAGATTAAAGTTGTCTTGTATTGCTACATCTGGCCAGATAATATTTCTTAAATGAAAGTGTGTTTTGTTTTCCTTGATAGGGTATTCTTGTAACATACCATCTCCTGGTGTGTTGATTAAATTGTTTCTTACCTACCTACTATAATCCGGGTGGACATTTTAGGGTTGGACCACATAGTAATATAGCCATGTATTAAAACACAAGTGAATAGCAGAATGCTCCCTAGGAGTAGCATGAGTTCGAATCTCTGTCCTCCAGGTACAGGAGCCCCTTCATCTGCATAACCTGGACTCTGGCTTGGTTTAGAGTTTGAGCAACACATGTGAGACTACCTAAGGCCTCTATTTCTCTATCTAATGAGGCAGCATTTGCTAGCAGAAACAAAGACATTAGTCTTTATCCATCTTGTTTGAGCCTCTGAATGGCAACCGTAAAAGACAATTCATTATACTTTAGCTTTGGTCATGCTTAGATGAGAACAAGATTATCGTCCTAGCGAGCAGCCAGATGGAATGGACTTACTTGTAAGAGATGGCTGGACTCCCTACAGGATGAAGAAGTGGCATGGCTGCCGCTTATGAAGGGAACAGCTTGTAAATCTAGGCCTGGGATTCTCAGGAGCTCATCTTCCTTCTCACATAGTGTTTTCAATTAGCACTCTTGTAGGCTTAAAAAGAGAGAGCTGGGAGACTCAGCATGGAAGATTACGAAAGAAATCAGTAATTGATAACATGGAGTCTCCTCACCTAAGGAGAGGGCAATGAATTCGGGTATGAAGCCAAAAGTGGCTTTTTACTTTGAGCATATGCCAGTGAGGCTCTCCTAAAGCTGTCTACCATAAGGCTATAAACTGTAGTGGCTCCTCTCTGAAGAGTCTTTGAGAAACCTAGGCCATTACCAGTCTACTTGATTTTAACCAAAAATATTTTGTCCTTGAAGGAAAAAAAGAAAGAAGAAGAAAAAAAAAAAAAAAAAAGCCTGAAAATGTGAACTGTTCTATTACTACAGATTCTTACAATTTGGTTATGCAAGCATAACCAAGCCCCACCCCACGCCCAAGGCTGTCAAATAAAACAATTAGAACGACTGTGATTAATACTGGCTAAGTCTCATTATACAGATATGTATAGACAGACAGCTAAGCCTGATGTCCCCGGCACTCATGGTACAATTAATTACTCTGACACGAACTTGGCAAAGGCTACATTCCACTGTCAGGAGCCAGAGAATAAAGTGAAGCTAGTAGCCACAAGTTTACAAGTTTTTAGAGAACATATCACATATCAGAGCTAGAAAAGACCTTTAGAACTCCAACTCTGTGTGTGTGTGTGTGTGTGTGTGTGTGTGTGTGTGTGTGTGTGTGTGTGTGTGTTATGGATATATGTGCACTCTTCTATGTGTGCACATGTGATAGCCACAGATCAGTACCTGGGATCATCCTGTCACCCTAGATTATTAGCAGGCCAGTGAGCTGTAACAGTCTACCTGTCTCTGGTTCAGCAGCACTGGGGTTGTACATGTGTACCACCATATCCAGCTTTTTATGTGGGTCCTAGGAATCCAAATTCCTATCCTTATGCCTGCAGAGCAAGAACTTTATCTGCTGGGCCGTTTCCCCATCTCAGAAACCCAGCATTTTGTTGTACAGAAACTGGACCCTAAAGAGGTGAATTGTAGCATTTGACGATACCTGAGTAAATGACTTCAGAAGCCAGAGCTAAACATGGCTGTCTGAACTGTCATTCAAGGGCTTCGGAAGTATAGCCCTAAGGTGACAAGGCTGGAAGCTGGGCTAAGGTACTCAAAACTTACAACAAAGCATTAAGGTAAATACAGTGATTATGATGTTAGTGACTTTTGACCAGCCATTTTGAATTTCTTTTATAGATATACAATAGAAAAGTTACCCTAGCTGTCACCTTTCTGTGGCTAACTAGCACCTAGAGACAAAAGTGAAACCAGGAGGATGTTCCTGTTCGGAGTTGATCACTTTTGTGACTGTCAATCTGTGTATTGCCCAGTTTCTATTGAACTACATAACTTGGCTGTTTGAAGATTGAAAATATTTTTTTAATGTATTGCATTTTCTTTACATTTGTGTGTGTCTATCTGTGTGTATGCTTGTGAACGTATACATGCCACACTGGGTGTGGAGATTAGAAAACAACTTATGGGAACTGGTTCTCCCACTATGTGGATCCTAGAAATTGAACTCAGGTCACTGGGCTTGACAGCCTTACCCACTGAGCCATCTTGCTGGGCCAATGACTGTATTTTTAATCAGTAAAAACAAAAACAAACAAAAAAAAGTGTTGATAGAATACATAAACACATTTCCTGCACAGGCAGATATCCTTGGTTTTATTCTTAAAGAAAACTAGTTTTTGTTAGCCTCACATTCTGTGGACTAAAATAAGTCGCTAGTCACTAATTTCCCTCATGGATTTGTCTGCTTGTTGCTTTTTGATGACAGCTGCTGGATCTAGGACTAGTGCAGGCCATATTTCTCATTGAAATGTTATCTGGAACATCTCACTAATGCCTGCCTGCAGCTTTATGAATACTGTGTTTCATATTTTCCCTGTTATAACCCTCTCAAAAATCAAAGTATTTTAAGTCTGTAACCCTGACTCCTTCTGATCAGCAGTTTCCTTTTTGGTGTCCCTTCCTACCCCCATTCTACAGATCTTAGTGCTCCAAGATGCAGTGTTTGCACTTGTGCAGAATGAGAAGCCATCCATGAACATTTGAACTACAGATCCCTCCCTGTGAAAGAATTGTCATTTAAGTGAAATGCCTTCACCCCAGGAAGCTGTGTGAGGAGCAGCAAAGACGGAAGTGTGAACTCTATAGAAACCACGCCCTGTGTGAAGCTTTGAGAGTGTACAGCCCCTCACCGACTTCCAGCTCTTCTTAGATTCCTCTCATTTCCATTTCTGCTGAAGTGGATCTGCATACATTCCTCTGACAGTGGTGACCCTGAAACTGACACCTTCCTTCCCTCTGCAGCAGAAAGGAAGATTTCTCATTGTTACAATTCCACTCCACTTTTCTTACCTAGATATCACTTTAAAAAAAAAAAAAAAAAAAAAAAAAAAAAAAAAAAACTCTCTGGGGCTTCCCTTCACTCCCACCAGGTTATACATCTCCATTTTCTGACCTCTGGGCTTTGTTGCTCAGCAGGGCTCTGGAAGAGAATTCTCATTGGATGGGCCCGGTCTTCTCCCATCACTGCCCTACTGTGACTCGAAAGAAGGGAGCTTCTTGTTGACGGTACCCTGTGGAGTGAGGCTGTGTTTCACACCCCACATGGTGCTCAGTAGGTGCCAGCCCTCAGCAGGCTCTGTGATTGCTGCCCTGAAGGACAACGCTGGCTCCTTCCTTCCTGGACCTGCCTGCTGTTCTCTGAGCATCGCTCCTGCTTAGACTTGGAGTCCCAGCCCCAGCAAGGCTCTTCAGTCCCATCTGCTGACAGTGTCTTGTGGAGCCCTTTGGCTGAGGAAAAGGTCACTGGTAAAGAGGGAGGAAGGGAAAGGAGCACACGGTTGGAAAGCAGCCCGTTTAACTAAGTGGAAACTTTGCAACTCTGCCTTCATTGTACAGATCCTGTGCATTAAGCTGATGGAAACTTCTTTGGAAGTAGTCTCTTGAGCTAACAAAAGGGCACAGTGGAATCCTCTTGTGTTTTGTCTTCCTTCTATAGCCGCTAACTGCCAAATCCATGGAGTCTATGTGGAAAAGACAGACTTCCTTCCTTCCCTCTCCTTAGTAAGGGATTTTTGTTTAACTGAAAAAAACAAACAGGTTCTGTTTCTCTCCTCAGGGTTGGTTTTGAATTTGGGGTTTTGCTTTGGTTTAGTCTTTGGTTTTTCTTTTATGCTCTAGAGCACAAGGCTAAAAGTGGCAGCTGAGATCTCTGGAAGCAAAGCAGTGTGCACACTGAGCCCATTCTGCAAGAACTCCAAAGGCAGGGGTGAAGGGTGGGCTCTCACAGAGAGAGCACCCAGCCTGTGGCTGCACCATCCTGTCCTCTCGGCACTATGTTCTCGTCTGTGTGCTTTATTATTAGACAGTCCAAAGGAAACAGCAGTAGTAACAGTAGTGAGTTGTGTGAACATATCAACCTTATGCACTGAAGCCCACATACCACTCCTTTAGGAAAAGATCCTTTCATTATTGCTGCACAGCCCACCAGCTCTGCTGCCCGTGTGCTATCCTGGTTCCCTGCCCTCATCTCCTGTTTTTGCCATTTAGATTTCTTGCCTACTAAGCCCATGTGGAAATCACTGTCTGTGGCAGAAGGACAGCAAGCTGGTTCTGGAAGTTTGTGTCTGCCTTCTGCCAGATGCTTCCTGTCCTTTCTTCCTTCCTTCTCATATTGCTGTTTCTCTTTGTGTGCAGTTCTGTACCGCTCCCATAGCACTGATTTTATGGCCAGATAAGGCTATGACTTGGTCCAAAGATCATCATTCCCATCTTACTAGATGTGATACCTCATCTTGTCTAGACACATTTGCATAACCAGAATTCAAGAGGACAGCAAGAGAATCTACTGGATGGGATCCCTGTCAAAGCAGTAGCTTGCTTTCAAATACTGCCTCTCCCAGTCGCTTGACACCTGCCTGGAGGGTGGCTGGGGTTCAGTCGGTTTGTGTAGAGCTGGCCTGTGCTACCTTCTCTCACCTCTAGGCTCAACACAGAGGAGGTGGGAAAGGTGTAGGGTGGCACAAGGATTTATTTTCCAGTAGGTTCATAGTTGATTCTGCACCTACATGTCCTCCTCCAGAAATAAGCAGTTACCTATTGAGTGTTACACATTTCCTTCTTGCTTTTTATTAAAACACAGGAGCAGCTGGGGAGGGGAGATGAGGGGTTTTATTTCTGACGAGTTTTAGAAAAATATTGTGTACATGTGTTTGGAATTGTTGAATTGCCAGGTTTCTGTACAAGTGTTTTGTAATTAAACTTTTAGATTTTCTTTAAGAAATTGATATGCTTGCTTGACATTTGTCTCATTAAAACTTTTCTATGTTGAATCCATGTGACCAGTTTGCTTGGATCATAACAAAAAAGTTCTACTTCTGCCTTTCCTCTGAAAGACTTCGTCAACTCTCCATTAATCAAGGCTGCTAGGCTTTTAGAACAGTCACACATTCATTTCACTAATTGCTTATTCAGAAAATGTCTTCACCTGTTTGACAGTGCAGCTCTTTCAATGTGCATTAGAACAATACAGTGAGTTCTAATTCATTGTATATGGCAGTAGCATTCTGGAGACAACTTGAAGGATGTTTTTAAGTCAGTGACTCTGAAGTCCCTTGTTAGTTGATCTTTTGACTGAAGAAATGTTGTGCTTAAATTCCTGGCTTTTAAAAATAACCACACTTACCAATCAAAATATTTTCAAAGGAGATTTGTGAATTTCTACCATGCTTTTGAAATCTTCAGGATGAGGCAGCCATGGCTTCCAGAGCCCACCCTCCTCCCGGGGCCCAGGCGGGTGGGTGTGGCACTGGGCAAGTCTTGAATTGTGTTACCTCAGGTTTACCCTCCTGACATCACAGTGCTTCTGCTTTCTTACAGTGTCTTTAGAAGGCAAGAATTAGGTAAGAGAAATCACCACCATACTTTGAAAAGTGCCAAGGCTCCTCACAGCATCAGAGTTAGGACTGGGTTGGTTACATTTAACAGAATCCCAAGTCAACGGTGGCTTAAATAGAAGTGTGTATCTCTCATAAAGCAGTATGCCAAAAGAAGCCAGCCCAAGACTGACAACAGAGGTTCCTGTCTGTACCACAACATAGTGTATCTCTCAAGGTCACCTTGTGTTCCAGCATAGCTGCTTGGCCAGCAGCCATCCCTTTGAAATTCTTGGCAGCGTGAGGAGGGAGGCAAGGACAAACCAGCAAGCCTGATTTCCCCATCTTCCCTGGAAATCACACTCCACACTTCCAGTCACATCATTATAGCTGGCTATTAAAGAATCCTAGCAATGCCATCACTTTGTGGACGTTATTGCTCGATGATAGGAATTTTAGTAAGGGAGAAGAAGAAATGAACATAATAGAGTGAACAACAAATTCATATATTAATAGAGGATACATTGTTTGTCCTTTGTTTCTTCACTACTAGAAAATAACAGTAGACTTCTTAGAACTGTATTGGTTTTTCTAAACAGCTGGGAAACAAACATTTCACTGTGAGTGGGCATTTCCTGTTCACACCTTAGCTTCTCTCCCAGCTTCAGCAGCTGGTGGCCATGCTTGGTAAAAGTCAACAGACACAGGTGGTAATGCTTGTCCAGATAGAACACTTCTCTAACTGCTCTGCACCAGGATGTTGGCTCCCTGAGGGTGGGGATAATGAAGAATTGTTTGGTGGAAAAGCTAGAACTACTTCCTGCTCTCTGAAATATTTCCTGCTGTACCACCAGGACTTCCAAGTTGGGGCCTTTTTCTTTGAGTTGTTTTCCTTTTTCACAAAACCTGCACTCAGATGTAAACTTTAAAATGCCTACAGATATAAACATTAGCTCACATGCCAGCTCGTGGAAGAGGGACTGAGAGTCAGAATTATCAGATGAACACGAACTAGAAATGCTCTCATGGGAACACGTGTCTGTGGAGAGACTATGGCCAGAAACAGGAATGACAGTTCCGAAGAGGAGCCGAGGACATAGGTATGGAAATTAAGAGCAGACAGTGCAGATTCCTGAAGATTTTTCTGAATGTCTGCAATGCTGGATCAATGGGAAGCTGTGAAACTGTTATGACTGTTCTACATGTGACCCAAACACTACATCCAACTCACAAGAGCATCTCCCCACTTGACTTTAATTTATTGTGTAGGGCTACAGAAGTGTTCGTAAGGTGTGCTTCTGGGCTTGGAAAGATGGCTCAGTGGTTAATAGCACACACTTGCTGCTCTTCCAGAAGGGTTAGATTCCTAGCACCCACACACCACACAGTGGCTTACATCTATCTGTAACCCCAGTTCCAGGTGACCTGACATCTGGCTTCCTCAACACAAGGCATTCAAGTAGTACACAGATATACATGCAGGTGAAACACATGGTCACATAATAAAAATTAAAATAGATGTCTACATGTATGTGTGGTAAAGACTAGTACTTAAGTAGCTCTGCATAGGGCATCTCAAATTAAGAGTTTCAAATGAAGTAACTGTGTGTGTGTGTGTGTGAGAGAGAGAGAGAGAGAGAGAGAGAGAGAGAGAGAGAGAAGACCAGAGGTCCTCTACTGCTTTCTATCTTTTTCTTTCTTGCTTTTTTTTTTTTTTTAATAGGACCTATCTCTTCCTGAGCCCAGAACTCACTAATTGGTTGGTTGGTTGGATTGGATTGGATTCAACAAAATGAAGTCAACAGTGACTTAAATAAGATAGATGTGTGTGTCTGATTTAAAAAGAGAGGGAGAGAAAAGTATTCCAAAAGAAGCCAGTCCAAGGCAGACATGGAAGCCCTGTCTATATCACAATTTACTGTCTTTCTCAGGATCATGCTGGGTTCCAACATAGCAGCTTGGCCAGCATGCTCTGAATATACTTGTTTTTCCCCTCTTCCCAAAGCTAAGGTCCCAGACATGCCCATCACACCAGTGCTTGTACATGGTGCTAGGAATGTGGGCACAGGTCCTCATGCAGGTATTTTACCAACTGAAACATCTCCCCAGCCCTGAGATAACTATTCACCTTTAAACTCTCAGACCATTTAGAGAGATAGATCAGTGGCAAAGAGCATTGGCTGCTTTTCCATAAGACCCTAGTTTAGCTCCCAACACCCACATGGTGGCTCACAACCACCTATCACTCTAGTCTCAGGGAATCTGACACCTTCTGATCTTGAGCAACAGCCATGGAGCTGATGCAGAGACATACATGGAGAGAAAACATCTGTACACAAGAAATTGATTTTTTTTTCTTTTTTGGTTTTTTTGAGGCAGGATTTCTCTGTATTGCTTTGGAACCTGTCCTGGAACTCACTCTGTGGACAAGGCTGACCTCGAACTTACAGAGATCCACCTGCCTC